TAAACACTGAAGATATTTTGAAACTGTCATTCAATTGCTGCCGTAAAGAACGCAGGATTCTTTGATTATGGTTTTACTATTCACTTTAACCTATGTCGTTTGACATAAAATCTATTTTCTATTTTCTAAACTTCTAAACTGAGCAAATACGTGACAAAATGAAACAAAAATAAAGCTTAGTAAAACGTAGATAAAATGTCACTAATCTTCTTTAAAATATGTCCAACTATTATAAGGGTAAAATATTTAATGCTACCTAATAAATTTTATAAAGTTTATTTTATTCTCAAATTTGTTTTATAATTATTTTTAATAATAATGCATTCTATTTGTGGATCTTACAAGGTAACCAAAACGTTCTTGCCATTTCTGATATGACATTGGAAGAATAAATCCCAACATAAAAATAGTCGTCAAACTTGGCGATGAAGTGGTTAGGATGGGAGTCTGAACATTGACCAAGAGCATAAAAGCACGTTGCATCAGTACTTCAAACATAACTCACACAGGGACTGATAGACGCATCAAAGACGTCCGTTTGGAGTTGTTTACTGTATGATTTTAAAGTGGGTCTGTCAGCAGCAGAATCAAGTCGCCAAATTTGCCAGGCCTTTGGAGATGATGCCACTAACGAACAAACCGCTAGGCAAAGATTCCAGAAGAGGTCAGGGGAAATGCATCACACAGCAGTCGGCCACAAGCACTGAACTGTGAAGCCCTGAGAGCAGCCATAGAGAGTGACAATAGCCAAACATGTGGTGAGCTTGCTGCACATTTCCAGGTATCTGATGAAATGATCAGATTTCATTTACACTGCATAGGAAAGGCATACAAGCTGAGCAAATGGGTACCCCAACTGTCCGATGCAAACAAGCAACAACATGTCTCTCCCCGTTTGTCAGTGGTGCACTATGAGCTCCTATGGAACCCTAGTGTTGCACCTCCCTTTTTTGTTGCAATTGGCTGTACCAAACATGTGTGATGTATACCAAAAATTTTGTGTTTCTGAAGATATTTTGAGTTTTTATGTATTTTTGCCTTGCCACAAAATGAGAACAATTGATTGAATGAGAAATTTATATGTAATGAAAATTGAGGAAATACGTTGGAATGAAGTGGGAAAAAAAAGTGTGTAATTTAATAGGCTGTACAAGGAAGTCGTGGTGTCCACGTTGGATTTTTTTTAACACTGTCAACTACTGCACAGTCATTCTGTTTTTGATCTGGTAGAGATCGATAGAAGCAATATTGAAACATTGAGACAAACTTGCTGTAGGTAAATATTGAAGAGAGGTGATACTTATGGCTTTGGTGCCCATTAGTGGCTGAGCAATAAAACTACCAAATACAGGTAATTTGACCCAGGCTGAAATATTAGCGAATGGGCGGCATGGACGTTTTCATAGCTTTCCTTGCAGTATATATGAGCTATTTTCTCTTAAAAAGTCTTCCATGAAGGCACTTCTCCCTTCAGGTAGAGAATCCTCATGTGCTCAAAATAAACTGAAAATAAGACTTCAACAAAGCCAGTTTTCACATTTTTTGTTTCATCATCATCCTCTGCATCGCTGCAGATTTTAATGCTCTCTGTTATTTTCTACATTTATCAGTTTCAGTATGCCATCCTTTTATGTTTTGTAGCAATTAATTGTCAGTTAGTAAAGCTTGTATTTTTAACACGTATCAAACATTTTAATATTATTGTTACATACAATAGAATAACCATTAGATCTCGTATGGATAAGAAACCAAAGATGAAATTATGCACTGTATCCTTTTTAATGTCATAACATTTTCCCAGTTTTTTCTTTTAAATTGATTGCTGACTTTGGTTAATAGAGGTTCTACTGTGTTCTTAACAATTATGAATGATTTATCTAGTGATTAGATGTCAGCAAATAATTTTCCTGATTAAAGTTCAATACCTGAAAAAATATAATTAAAGTAACATTTCTTATATAATAATTATTAGTATAAGAAAGATATAAAAAATATAGTAAAAGTAGCCTGCAAGTTAATGGGCAGGGGATCTTGTAAAATAAGTATCACATAAAAGTGGACCTAGAGCTCTTGAATCACTGATTATTTCTGTTGTTGACATTCTGCATTTTTATTCCAGTTTTCATTTTACTTTTTTACCTGCAATAATTTATCAAAAGGGGGACTGTCCCCCTTTTGATATTGTGTTGCATCACATATAACATTTATGCAAGTGGATTCATGTATGAAGAGATAAAGATAGGTATGTGGCGTGTATCTATGAAAATATAAAGTATGAAAATCGGACCAAAAAATAATTGTATTCAGTCTTAAGGAAAGTCATGTTCCATTTCCATTAAAAACTGAGATTGCTGCAAAATTTTTTTCCACCAAATAAAAGAGCTGCCTCATTTTTTATGCATATAAAGGAATTGAGCATATTAACGAATTGGGTTGAAAGAGAAGGAATTTAAACCACATTTTGATGCTTAACATTGTTCCATTTGAGCTTGCTTGGGAACATAGTAAATCTTTTCAATCCTATGTTTGTGCGCTTTTCTTTAATTTATGCAACTTCTTTTTGAACCAGTGATATATTTTTTTATACCACGATTCATAAAAATTGAGTGAAGTTATGTATTTGAAAAAAATGAATTAATATCTAGAAAAATCTCATTAATTCTTCACATCACATATAACGTTGAATAAGATAACAGAATAAGGTAGGATAATTTAATAGTTGAAGAAGGTAAGTAAATTAATGAATTAATTCATTTAAACTTGTAATGCTGAACAAATACTTACATATGAAGCTACAAACTTGAAACTAGTATATATTTATTGGCACATATTTATGCACTATAGAGCTATGCTCACCGCAAACATTTTTCTTGTTTTTGTGCATGATTTCTGTCCTTCACAGTGGAACATATATGACATCTTTTCCTTGCAACAGCTTTTAATTTTTTACGTGGACGGTCCTCAGCTTGTTCAAGCTGTGTTCTGTTTAATTAATTCCATTGGCAAGCTCCTGGAAATGTTAGGGTGGATTCTTCCGTTTTCATTGTGTTTCTTTAGAAGTTTTAAAACAAGATCCTTAAAAAAGGGGGAGTGCCATATCGTCAGGTTGTAAAAAGTAATAATTTCAAGGTTTTTGGCATCAGCAGATGAAGGATCTATAATGCATCATTATTTTGCATAGTTGATAATAAAAGCACACATTTATTCTTTTTGGGATATATGACACTAAAGTCGCATGTTTCTGATATTCGAAGAAAATTGAATGCAATTCTCATTTTCTGAAGCAAGTGAACTCCGTCAATATTTCTCTTTTTGTCATTGTTCAAACAAGAGTATATTTTTTTTTACCTAGAAGGTCTTTAACTAGACCAACACGTCATGTACCAGTTGTCAGCAATGAGGTTTTTTCTTCCTGTGTTGAAAATAAGTGCGAAGAGTCCATAACAACTTTGTCTGTGCTGTTTTCCAATTTGTAGGGAACTTCAGGTTGTATCACTGCATAGATTTCTAAATTCCAGGTATAAAAGGTCTTTGAATCCATTAGAGCAAACATTTTAATGCTGTACTTTGCAGGCTTACTGGAAATATATTGCCTGAAAGCACATCTGCCTCTATAAAAAGTTCCTATTTTTTCATCGATGGTGACATACTCACCTAGCCTGTATAACTTCTTACTGTTATTTTACAAATAAGTCAAATACAGATCTTATTCAGGAGTAAGTTTATAAAGTTCTTTCCTTTTCATACGATCTCTATCATCATCACAACATGGCAGAAATAAATTTCTGTTATAAGATATAGTCCGGTTGAATATTTGCAGTCCTGTGCCATCAGTGGCCCAAATATCTTTCGCATGAACATCGGAGGATTTTTGTACTCTACGAAGGTAAAGAAGACTGATTAAGGCTTTTATTTTGATTAAATTACTTTTTTATTGCAGACATGGTATCTTTGAAAATTACCCACAATCTTGATCATATAAATGTTCGTGCAGTCAACAATGCTCTCTAATGTGGTATTATTGAATAGTAATAACCAAGAGTCTGTAGGGGACAATGCAGTTCTGGCATTACCAACATTTCCAGGTAATTTAGTGATAATATTCTGCAAAAGTCGTCTTATATTTTGTTTTGGCTTTTTTTTTTTTTTTTTAAATTTCATTTTGTAATCCTATCTTTCCCAGTATAAAATTCTCTTAAACTTGATGGAAACTATTTCGTCATCTGAATCAAATTCCTTTTCCGATGAAGTTTCATGAGCGCTAAATTGTTCTTCATCATCATCTCCATTTATTGATTCTTCATCTGTTGATACTTCTGCAAGTAATGTTTGAAGCCCTTTCAACTTTATAGCTGAAATAATGATGCATTTTTTAAATTCTTATACAAGCATTATTAAAAAAAAACGTGAATGCGAGAACTCGTGTTGGGTATTTCAGGCCTGGAGATTCAGTTTCTAGTTAAAGATAGCTTCGAGAAATATGACTTTCTATGCAATGGAAAGATGGTGACCTTCGAAGCAAGTACTGAGAGATTCAACCATTTTCATGAAAAAGGATTTTGCAACACATTGAATATTCGCCCCAGGCTTGTAAGACCCGATGTGCATTCTTGTGGGTTAATGCATATTTACAGGAATAAAACTAATTCCCGTTTTTTATTCTCAGGAAAAGCGTAGTAGATTGATTATAGAAAATACTAAGAGGATTTGGAATTTAAAATATGTATATGGTTGGTTGTACCATTTCGAATAAGTTTATATAGTGTTCAGAGTGCAAGCCAAAAATTTCATAATCACTGCATTTTCAAGCCTCAAATTTGCATTAAAGTATGCTTTGCTTTTTCTCATTTTTACTCATCTATCTTATATGTCATGTATTGTCTAAAGACAATACAAGTTATAACAGTTTTTAAGTTATTATTTGTCTTTATCTCTGTATTTCCAAAATTAAAGTTAGATTTTTGTTGTAAATTTTTTTAAATTGTATTTTCTTTCTGTAGCAAAATTTAGAAGCTCAGTCGCAAGCAGCGAAAGCAAGAGCTGCTGCTGAAGAAGAAAACAGGAGCAGTCCTTCAGATAATTTCAGCATGTGTCAGCAGGGAAATTCTCAGCAGCAGCAACAACAACAACAACAACAACAGCAGCAGCAACAACAACAACAACAGCAGCAACAACAACAACAACAACAACAGCAGCAACAACAACAACAGCAGCAGCAGCAACAACAACAACAAATGACTCGTTCCCAGCCGACTCCTCCTTCTGGATGCTCAACTCCAGCATCCACTGCCTCATCGCCGGCTGCACAGGATCTTAGTTCCAGTCCTTCTGGTATGAATGCTCCAGCTTCTTCAGTGGCTTCCACCTCAGGGGCCAATGTTGGTCCTTTGCCATCGTTCTCCACATCTTTGGCATTATCACACCCTGGCCTCTCTAATCCTCATGCTACGTCTCTGGCCATGACATATGCACAGTATTCTCTTCCTAGTTTTGCCCATGCTGGTGTCTTGGCTGCAAACTACACCCAAGCTCACTCCCATGCATCAACCTCGGCCGCCCATTTGCCGACAGCTTCCTCTACATATAGCCAGGCCCATTTGCAAGATCCTTATAGGTGGACTTAAATTTTGGTGATGGTATTGGATATTACCTCCCATAAATTTACTCTGTCAGACAAAGCAAGAGATAACATAAAATGTCTGATGGCAATCGATGCAGCTCGTATGAAAGGAGTGCACAACTTTGTGCATATACCTTTCTTTTAAACTTATATTTTTGAGTCTGCTTTTTCTGAAGGTACCTGTGATGTTGGTTCCATGTGCACAGTATTTCTCTCGTACTCGTACCCTAGTCTGCGCCTTTTTAAGATATTGACAGACTTCATAATGTTTGGAAAATCTTTATATTTGTCTCATATCATAAAAAGATCTGAATATCAGATTTTGAGACGGAATGTTTGGTATAATATTCCCATGTAGTAAAATGTTGGAAAGATGAACAAAACGCATGCCAAGAGTACTTTAAATCATCAAAATAAATTAATTTATGTTGTACTTCATTTTAAAAATTTAATCATAAGTCAAGTCATCGAGCACATAATGTTTTATGTTGGTTATATATATTTTAAAGCCATTTTAGCCATTTATATTTGTATCATATCATGTTATTTTGTACAATTATAATATTTTATATTCCGCCATACAAGTCGATATTTTTATGATTGTGTTTAATGTCCTTGTGCAATTGCTCTGAGCAACATATCCTTTTTATTTGCACAAAATAGTTTTGTGTTTGAAAATTGTTCATGATTTTTAACATTTTACTGTTATTAAGTCTTGTAATTCAGTGATTTTACAGGACAGAGTTCAGATACTGTCTGAATAAGCTTGAACCGAGTCCTGCAACCCTTTGTGTATATATATTCCATGACACCACATCTGGACTGATAAGGGTTTTGCCAAAAATTCAACTTGCCATCTTGGTTGCAATTTTTTTTAAACATAGTTTTTTTTTTTTTAACTAATTTTTATCCCATTTCTTTTTGTCTGTAAATATTGTAATATTTATTTTTTAAAGGAGCAGTTTCCAAAATAAATGCATGAACATGCAGAACGTTTTTTCTTTAAATGTATGTTCATACATTTGTAGCTTTTCCAAAGCATGTCCATTTGCAAGGATAGTGGTGAAAATGTTTATATGCCGACAAAACTTCCTCATTTTGTGGAGGTCAAGTTTTCATACATTTAATCTGTGTATGGATTGTTCCTTGAATGCTTTCACTTAAATTAAGTGACTATTGTGAAATGTTTTGTCCGAGAGCTGAATATTGTTAATATTTCACTTTAATTCTTCAGTACAAGATGCATTAAAAATATCAGATGTGATTTTTTTGTTAAAAATTTCTCAAAATATGGAATTGTCATTACATTTTTTTGGTTTTTATGTTAAATTTCAGAAACGTGGCTCCTCCTTCAAGGCTAATACGAAGTGGTTTTAAACGCACATTTTTATATTTTATTCTTTAAAAAAAAAAAAAAAAAAAAAAAAAAAAAAAAAAAAAAAACTACCTGATGTTTTTAGTTTTGTTATTTATTTGTTTACTAACTTTTTTGTCACACATTAATTTGGAATAATATATTACATCGCCATTAATTTCTACATCATAATTTCATACTCATGTTCATTAATCCTGTGATTCATTAAAGATTTATCATTAAAATGAAAATTTCAAGATATTGTAGATAGTTTTTTTAGGCATAGAATCAAGTATTTTGTATAGCAAATTCCATATTATCCTGTAATTTAAGAATATCAGATGTAAAGTGTTTTTTAATTAACTGTTTGATTATTTTAAGAAAATGAAGCATTGAGTTTTCTATTATGTCAGTATTTTGCTTAATACTTTGATATTATTATTATAATTTTAAATTTTAAAAGTATGCATTTTTTTGCATTTTTATTCTGCTCTTTTGGTCAGCTAATTTAGGCAAATAAAAACACTTAACTGTAGGCAGCTTTTTATAATGTGTACATTTAATTTGTTACAGTCATTTAGGTGCTTGAAGTTACTATTTGGGCCAGGTTTGCAGGACTTGTCAGGCTATGTAAAATATACATTTAGAAGTGCTAGATGATTTACATGGCTATAGAAGCTCTTCATTTTCCAAAGAGAAAACTATTCTGTACATAGCAGGACTGCTATAATTAATATGAAAAAACTAAAAGAATGGTGTTGGTATCTATAACACTTTATGCCTGTATATTTGAATTAGGTACTCTTTGCAAAGAAAAATTTTGTGAGTTAAATTTGTATTTCAGTATTATCTTGTAAAGCTTTATATCTTTTTAGATGAAGATGTTAATTCATGTAGCATTTCTCTATTCTTTTGGTGTATTTAAGAGCATGGCCCTCTTATCATGCGTGCCTATGTAGATATACAGTGCTTTGCTGTAATGTAAACAAAGGTGAATATTGTGGCTTGTTTTTTTTTTTAAACCTTATTCTTAAAATGTTCATAGCATAACAATATATTGAATAACTATCTTAATCATACTGCAGCTAAATTTCTAAATAAACTTTAAATTATTTATATAAAAGGGGTCATGTTATATGTATAAAATGCTATCCATATTCAAAACATAATGTAGAACTAATTTATAATAAAGTGTGCAATGTGGCTGTATAGGGAAATAATGAAGTTTTTTCTATATTTTTTGCATTAATTCAGTTACAAGTAGGTATAGTTAAAAATATATATATTTAATAATCATTAATTAATTTTAGAAATTTTTTACATCAAATTTGCAAATATTTTACATATAACTAGGTTATAGAAGTTTTAAAAAAATCATACTTATTTCTGTAATGCCAGTTTCTGCTCCTAGTGCATATAACATGACTCCAATTGATTATTGCCATGCAAAATTCATAGAATGCAGGATTACTTTGTTCGATATTATCATGTGTATATTTAATTAAAAATGATTTTATTTTGTGAAATGTATAAAGTGGAGTTATTGCAATGGAAAGTTTCCCTTAATACCAGTGAAAGGTTATAATCCTCCCCAATCTAGTTCAGACCTTAGTTTATTTTTAAAAATGTTCTATTATGTTGTAAATTTAAGACTTTTCAGAAGTATTTACCTTTTTTTTTTTTTTTTTTTTTTTATTTTTTTTTTAATTACTGAATAAATGTTTCTGAATTGAAGAAAGAAGATATCCCAAAAGAAATATTTCTTAATGCTGAAATAAATATTCTTTATCATGTTATGTATTTGAGAATACTTTCACAGGGTAAGCTTTCCATTTAAAAAAAAAAAAAAATGTGTTTATTTAATAAGCTTCTCAGATGTAAACTTTCATTTAGTATAATTCCATTAAAAAACTAAAGTGTATTTTGTGAAAGTTGTTCCTGTGTTATATTTTAAAGTTGCAGATTTCGAATTTTCAAAGCAGAATTTTATTTCTTTTTTACCTACTTTCAAAAAGCTAGGACTTTATATAACTGACTATTAGATTAGCAAATAAAAATATATTTGGAAGTAAACAATGATGTTTGTTAAACATAAAATTATCTGGTATAAAGGTTACCACTTCGTATTAGCTTCTATGTGTGAAACATTAATGAGATCTGTTTTATCTTTTATGTAATACATATTGTTTTACATTGATTGATTTACATTTACAAATGATTGAGGAAAATGGTTTTAATAATCTGCAAATACTAAGTTTTCAAACTCAAATATTATAATTTTTGAATGATTGACTAATTTTATGCTAAAAGAATTATTTTCATAATAGTGTTTAAATGTTTATAATTTGTAATAGTTTCAAGTTGATTTTATGCTTTTTTAAATTATTAAGACCAATTCTAATAATTTTCTTAATAAATTTTTTATATATATAAAATTGCTCTGTTGTGAAGTTGTATTGATAAATTAATAACTGCAAGTGTAAAAATTCTTGAAATGTGTGGAACTGGTGAATTTATTCTTGTAAAAATGTATTCTGTGTAGCAAACATGTAAATATTAAATTACCTTTGCTTGAATGAATGAGGTGCACTGTCTTCAGTTTATTTTTAACAAAATATATATTGCTTTTGTATATTGACATTTGTCAAGACTGTACACCTGTACAAAATCTTCTGTTTCTTCATCACCATACAAGCCACAAGTCAGGAAAGAAAAAAGCCTTTTTGTGTGTACAAATTTCAAGGTGTTGATAAATCTGAACAACTATGCATTGCTGTAACATATTTGATAGCAATTTTTATAAAACTAAGCTGCAAGTCACAATCTATTATGTAAAATGTTCTGAAAATTTGGTTGCATGTATGGTTACTTCCTTTTGCTACTGTAGATCCTGTATATTAAGAAATACTGCTTCAATATTATTTTTGGTGCAATAGGGTAGTGAAAATACTTATCCTACTAACTTTAATTCAGTAATTCAAAATGAAAAAATCTGCCATGTAGATGAAAGAATATAATTTGAACTACCATAAGCAGCAAGCATTGCAATAAAGATTTATAGCATTTAAAATGTATGTCTTAAAAGTTCATATATATAAAAGGTAAAGTATTAGTAGCTATGATTGTGCTGTAATATGAAAATTTTGTATGGAAAACCTTATTTTCAATTTCCAGAATTTCAAAATTTAATCTGCATGATGTTTTGCTGTATTCTTAGAAGTATCCATTAAATAACAGAAAGTTATCTTTCTCTTATTTATATTAATCCATTTCTGTTTTTGGATGGTAGATAGGCATCCAGGGGAAAAAATAGGTATTCAAACAAGGTAAAACTTTTCAAATCTTAATTTTCATTAATTTTTAAATGTTTTTATTATACAAAAATCATTAACCACTTGCGCTATGACTAAATTTCCTGGTTGCGGTGTCATGCGCTATAGTATAACAAGCGGTAAAGTGTCTCATTTATTCTGCAAGTGCAATCCAGAGCTGTAACTCGAGAAATAAACAATCTCGTTAGGTGACATGTGCACCATGTTATTTTTAAATTTTGCGATAAATGCCTATCGACGTGGTGTTCACGTAGCTCGCGGTATGAGACAAAAGCATCTCGACGTTCGTGGCACGTCTTTTTAGCACAAGTGGTTAACAAAATGCTTACTACATGTTTATCATAATCAGTAGATTTTATACATTCTTCCTGTTAATATACAAGTATTTTCATAACTAATCCACTTTTATTACATTTTTTAAATTCACTATCACTTTGAAATTTTTTTTCTAAATGCAGTTAGATTAAAATGGGAATTTTTTTCTTATTTGTAGAATAAAATAAAGGGTAACTCATTATCTAATTTTTTACCCAAAGATATTTTAGTAAAAAAATTGTTTTGTTTACCTGATTATTTTGATTTGATATATTTTAATTCAAATGGTTAAATTAAATATGTTGAATCAAAATAAATCATGTAAAATAACTAATTTCCCCCCCCCCCCCCCCCCTAAACAGTTTCCATCTAAAAACAGAATTGGGTGTAATTTTGAACCGTAGTTCGAAAGACAAAGAAACAGTACCTTTGTCTTAAAAATGTGGAAGCTGATTAAATGCATCATTTGCTCACTTAAGAACTATCAGCATTGAATGCATATTTCGTTTTATTTCATCAAAAATTCTGCAATTTGACATATTAATACTTCTGGTATTAAATTTATTTATTTTAATAGTTTACTGTTGGGAAGTGTTCTATGTAGATAATTTTAGTTTCATTGTGTATCTAAGTCCTTTTTATTTCATTATCAACTCGGTCATAATAATGCATCATTTAACACATTCTTCTCTAAAAAGTTATTATACACAGTTAAAAGCATTGGTAAAGATTTGTAAATCTTTTCAGAAATTTTTGGCTGCTAAATAAGTAAAACAATTGATATAATAGAAAATAGTTAAGAGGTGAAATGTGCATTTAAAAAGAAAACTTTATATCTTAATAATAATGATTTGTATATTTTTATTTCATTTAAAAAGAGTCTGTTTTTGAAAGTTTTACATTAAGTGAAGAATGATTATTGAGCCAGTTTCTGTATTGTAGAAGCAAATAGTTCTTCAGTCTGTTTCTGAAGTATATAGATTTTAATGAATTAAAATCTGTGTTCTTTATTAATATTGTTTCGCACAAAATACCAATTTATTTTGTTAGAGCATTTATTTCAGTCACGTGTAAGTACTTAATCATAAGTGCATATGCTTAACCATTTTTAATTATGTGAAATCTGTGCAAATAATTTCCTTTTGTATCTTTTTGTAAGGCCTTATAGTATCATTTTTTGTATGAAATCTTTGAAATATTAAATTTAATAAGTTAAATATTAAATAGACAGGTGCTGAAAGCTTTTTATTTGTAGGTTTTTGCTGTTGACTGTTACACGTTTGTTATTTAGCACATTTGTAATTTTGGTTTTAAGCAGTTTTATTTGTTTTGTTACCAGAGCACTTGTTTAATTACATTTATCATTTTCTGCTCCTAAACATATGGAGTAAATTCGTATAAAACCTCCATACATATTTTATAGTTTATACATTGGAACATTTTTGTGTATAACTGAAATTGAAGTGTCATTTTATGTGCCATTCATAATGAATTTTAATCTTTCATGAAGCCAACACTTAAAGCCATGTTTTCACAATCTACTTAATTTCATCATAATATTTTCCATATGACCTTGTTTTTAATATGTGTTTTACTTAATTCAAATAATAGTTCTCTCGACAACTCGCTGTTCAAAGATCAAGCTAGTTGCATGTTATGTCAAAATTTAAATCAATATTAGGATGTGATTAATATAAAAACATTCACTGCATTGTCATTTTTAAGGAAATTGTTAGAATATAGTAATACTCCAGTTATGAAAATAATACGTACACCAAATGTCAATCAGGAATATTTTTAACATGAATATAGGAATTTTTTCCCCCCATTACGTTTGTGATGAAATGCTACTAAATGCAGTGTTTGTAATCAAAGATTAAGAGGAATTTTGCTCAGAATAAGTTTATGTTGTTACATTATTCGTTTTAAATATTGAGCATCACCTAGTGAAATTGTCTTTCCAGTAAATTACTGTAGAAAATGAGTGCAAATGTTTCTTAATTTTTATAATGTAAAAACTTTATATTGCAGTATTATGAAATTCTTATGAGATTTTGAATTTCATGCATATGTGACTAGTATATGTATATATTAAATTGTATATTATAGCTGATATTTTTTATGCATCCAACCCTTAAATATGAAATTATATAAGTATTAAGTTTTTAATAGTAATTTTATGTTAATTCAGCAGTATAATGAAACTGATAACTGAATATGTGACTGATGTAATCTTTGGTAAAAAGTACTATTATATTTGGTGTATTTTAAAAAAAAACTGCTTGTGTAGTGAAGTACAGATTTTATGCAATTTGTCAAATTGCTCATATTCGGCGATGTAATCGAGAAGAGTAGGAGTACATTGTGAGGAACTGAATAAGAGTGCATGTTAGAATGAATGCTGCACAATTTACTGGCGTAAATGCAGGTTTTGATGCAGTTGAACTCCACATTGTTTCGTTTGCTTTTTTGGGGGAGGGGGGGGACATAGTTTTCCCATGTTTAATAGATACATCTACATGGATTCAACATGTGCCTTTTTTAAAATTTCTTTTGTAAGGATAATTGCTATTATTAGTTTCTCATTTATGTAATATTTTTTACTTAGAGTGATCAAAATGGATAACTAGAAAAAGTAACAAGGATATTCACATAATAAAAAATGTGCAATATTAGAAAGGTATTTTTTAATATAATTGTAAGTTATATGTAAAAAAGTGAATATTTTTTTTAATGCTACTGTAATAAAATCTGTACTTTATCTGCAAAATTAAGAGGGGCATTGCTAATTTATGATCTCAAGGTCAAGCATTTTTGTGACATAATAAATTTGTTTTTTAAATTTTTAAAAAGCTATTCATAAGTATTTTTTAAATGTATGTATATGTTACTGTTTGTCCTACCTAAATTTTTTATGACTTTTGTTTTAACATTTTCATGAGCTAAATTTAACTCATTTTTTATCTTCACTTTTCTTAAGAAGGTAAATTAGATGTGATTTTTAAAAATTGGTTACCATTTAATTTTGGTGCCAAATTTTGTTTTATATGTGCGAGTCCTTTTACTCTGCTTGTTCATGATATTCAGATTGTACTAAATGCCCGGTAATTTTTCAGCCAGATTTAATGCATGAAATTATAAATTTCTTTGGGTAAATCATATCTTAATAGAAATTTATAACCACATACTGGATAAAATATATCCAGTCTAATGTCAACAATTTTCAATGTATATTAAATCAAGTGTATTTTGTTTTAAAAAGTTTCATTAATTTATATGCAGTTGTTGGTATTGATTAAAAAAAGTATAAATTTGAAAATTCAGTTGGAAATTTAGGTATGTTTTGGTACAGGGTATATGTAGTTTTAATGTCAGTCAAGACTTGTTTCCCTGAACATGTGTTGTGTAATTGCTAGCTTATTAAATGGATTATTTGTATCCAGGTTGTGCTTTACTTAACACTGTGTGCATATTTTAAAATCTTTAGATAACCAAATTATTTGCCAACTTAATTCTCTGAATCTGATTAGAAAGCAACATAACATTGGTTTACTGTTTTAAAAATTAACTTATGTAAATAGTTCTTGAAAGATTTATACCATGCCAGATTTGTTAATGTCTCGCAAGGTACCTTTTAAGATTTGTCAATAAACTTATACGATTATCGAATGATATAAAAATAATGAACTGCACATTCCTCCCTCCATGTCTGCATTTGGTATCATTGATCCTTTCTTCCAAGACAATATATAAATTGCCTCTATTATGCCAAACCTGACAAATTTCTTTAATTTCAAACATTAATGCTTGATAAAACTAAATTTTGGTTTCAATAAAATACTTGCCATCCAGGCTGTTTGGAAGGACTGAATTACCAATTACATATCTCGATCTAATTCTGGCACTTGCGTGCTAAACAAAATACGTACTGCCCATCCCATTATAATCAGAAGAAATTTAAAATCATGTAAGAAAGTTAATTTACCATGCACGATTCAAAGATTGCATTAAGTGTACTGGAAACGGTCTTCTTGTGCAATTTTTCAAGTTTATGAATAAAATAAACACATCCAAAAGCAACAAATGTGCATGACTTAAATCATGAGATAATTCAGCGAGGTACAAGATTTATTTATTAAAAAAAAAACAAATTCAAATTTTTTAAATGCCTAAAAAATGTTAATTAGTCCCATCTTTATCTTTTTTAACTATATTATGTTGTATTGGAGGGGATTCAACATTCTGTTCATCATCACTGATATATTCATTCCAGTCTTTCTCAATAGATTGGGCAGAGTTTATTGCTTCTATGCTTTCAGATGTTCTTGGAGAAATATTGTTATAAATTGACATTGCCTAGAAAACAATATTTACATAAGTACATATATACATTTATGTCACATACACAATATAAATGTATATTAAAAACATAAGAATGCCTCAACTAATGAGTACATTGCAAAAAAATCTAATCACTAATTATTACTAAATGCATTAAAAGAATAACTGCAAAAAGTGAGAAGTGGCAATACTGTTCAAAATAAAACTTTTTATCTCCAACACGTTAAACCATTCAGTAAAATATAAGACACTTTTATTTCAAATTTAATCTGCTGTTAGTATTACATACTAAGGGATTTAAACGCAGTTCTTAAATTTTTTTTTTATACTTTTCAATCTAATCAATTTAAATCAGAAATATGAAACTATACTTAGCTATATTCATAAATTATCTATTTTCTCTTTGTCATAATAATTAATCTAACTGGAAGTTTAAAATAGCCTTATCTGAAAGTAGAGCCGAAGGACTACAAATCTAAAATGCTTGAGGTATAAACTTCTTGTGCAAAGGGCAATAAATAAAGCTTCATTCATCAAAATGGCTCGAAAATAAAACAGCCCGATATATATCAGCATTATAATTTTACCTTCTTAATAAGCAATATATACAGTCAAAAGTCGTTAATTCGGACACCCATAATCCGGACCTCAAAGCTAAAATCTTTCTGCACATGTGCCGCGTTGACGCATGCTCATAGGCGTTTTACGTGTGCGCGCAAGACATTTACGACTGCGCATATGCGTCTCCGCAAGCGCAGAATACGTTTTCGCGTGCGCGTTTAATGTATAACGGACGGTATAAGCTAAAATTATCTAATTATCTATTTCAGTTAATGTTGATGATTGCGTTGTTCCTTAATCTTCGAATTGGATCCGGCTTATTTTTTTTCCAGACTGTAAGAGCAATTTTATAAAAGTAAGCTTGAACTTTCGATTATGTCAAATAGAATTTCCGATGCTGGAGCTCCCAAAGGATCTAGAAAACGAAAGTATGTTTCAATGTCCATCATACAAAAAATGGATAAAGGTATATCCTGTGTTTATCTAACCGTTCCGAAATCTGTTTATCAATTTCACGCTGCTCTGCGCGGGGCGCAACGAACTGGAAGTTGATCTGTCAGCACTATCGTTATCTTCAGGGCAGATGTTTTAATTTTATTCGGCTTATAATTCCTTACTAAATGTAGTATTTAATCTTGATGTACTCTGTCTTTGATATGATTTAAATCAAATTCCTCGTCATTATAAATATCACGAATACATATCAAATAGTTTTCTGGTTGCAATTTTCTAATTTCGGCTATGCGTGATGTACGCATGCGCGCGTTTTAAGAAATGTTTAACAAAGTAAACAAATAAATATTAAGCTTTTTTTGTAAATTTTGATACCCTTTAGATCATAATTGCTCATTATTTTATAAATTACAGTTTCATATTTTTAATTTTATAATTTCTGCATGCCATCTTACCAGATTTAGACTGATCTATAATCCGGATTAAAGACTTTTGACTGTATATAAAAAAAGAACACAAACAAAAGTAGAAGTTGCATGCATTGATATGAATAGGTTTTAACAAAATACCTTCATAAACTACAAAGTTCACTTTTTTCTTTTTTCTTTTTTTTTTTTTAAGCTCTGAAGCTATTAATTTTGTTTTGGCATTTTTTGTTGAAAACTTCAAATGTCCATTTCACTTTTCAAATCGTTGGCACCAAATATTATCGCCCTGTATTATATTTAAAGAAATTAATGATGAATCTGCATAAATATATGCATGTTTCTCACACTGTGATAAAACAATGGTACCTAGAGCCATCAAATTTTGAGTAACGTATATCTCCACCTGAATATGAGCATCTGGAAGTAAAGCACTTAATAGTTTTTAAGAAACTAGACAATTTCAAAGCGAGCAATGGCAACACTGTATTTAAAGAAAAAAAAAAAAAAAATTATCTCCAGCTTGCAAAATTGTGCATTGGAATATACAAATTATTTTGTGATATTGCTGTTGAGTTGATTTTTAATGTTTAAGTGCAAAGAACATATTTAATAAATAAAGGTAATACACAAAACATTAAAAAAGCGCCGCTTTGGGTGCCTGCTTCACAATATAAGACAACCAAAAGCTATAATTCTTTACAATAAATATAAGAATTTCAATCTTGTAGACTTCTTGAATTTTAACTCGCAAATTTTTCCTAAGGCTGCAAATTAGAAATTTTATTTATTTTTTACGTTATAAAATGTGGCTTACTAATGCTGTACATTTCCATTAGAAAAATTCTTATACTGTATTATGATTTCTTAATTAAGTTCTGATTAAGTGTATCTTAAGAATTATTACAAAATCATTAAAGGAAAAGAGCAAGTCTAAAATTTAAATATTTGTCAAGGTATCAAGAACTTCAATTCAACTTTTGCCTATGATTAACTGAAATCTGTAACATGTGCAAGCACAGTAAGCTTGTTAAATTAGAAATTTTCATTGTAATTAACACTAGAACTGCAAAGCAGGGTCAGTTTGACCCAAACCTATGTATAATTTGTCACCAAGCGAAAAGTACAGATTGCAAAACAATTTCTTTTCATGGCTTGATAATTTAAGGTAAACAATAGCTTACTAAATTTGAAACTGTGTAACATAAATAAATTTCGGATTATTAACAGGGGTCATTTTGACCCATACGAAATGTTTATGCTTAAATGACGAAAAACAGATGCATTGTCTCGGAAGTAAATGTAAAGTATATCTGCTTCACCTTCCAATTCCTAAAATGGACTGCACCAGCAAAGGAGGGAATAGTGTGGTTCGAAACACTAACTGCATTCGAATGCAGTGAAAAATTGCAACGAATCAAAAGGCCTTTTTGAAGTTGCTTTTATTCTATATTTAGTATAAGGATAGATAAGATGCCACAGTGTTGTTTATGAGTGTTCAACATTCTTCAGAAAGCTTTGCAATATTTACAACAATTATCTGAAAATGATTCAGACGATGGTGATAACGATGACAGTGTTTCGATTTCAGTAGCGAGTAAGAACAGCTGCCTGCTAACGAAGAAAATTCGAAATCAGATGAAGAAAATGAAAGTGATGATGACTCTGGCAGTGCCCTAACAATCGCTGGACCTTCTCATTGCAATAATGATGATTATTTATCAAACAACAAAAAATTCTAAGAAAACAGACATATGCCCAAGGAAGTCCAAAAAGAAATCAGCAGTAACATTCAAAGTTGGAAATAATGAAGTTTGCAAAGATAAGAAAAGTAAAATATTTTGAAGGAATCAAAATCGCAACAACAACCTTGTAATTTTAGCGTACATATATTAAAATACTCAACAGATTTCGAGGGCAGCTAAAGGTCCCTCCTCATCAGGAGAACGAAATTACTAGAAGGGGGAAAAAAGAAGAAAAAGCTTCGGCAAAGAAGTCTCAGAAACACGTGGTCGTTATCAGCACTGCACATGGTTGTAACCGGATTTTGAATCAGAGTTACACTGGCCGCCTACTTTTACTGAACCAGGCTATCTGATCAAACATACAACATGAACCTCAATCGAGGTTCAGACTTGGTGCGTGAAGGTGCAGTTGCCCCTCACTCCTTATTTTTTTATTTCACGGATTTTTTTGCATTTTAGTCTACGTGTTATACGTTTGATCAGATAGCCTGGCTCAGTAAAAGTAGGTGGCCAGTGTAACTCATTCAAAATTCGGTTATGACCACGTGTTTCTGAGATTCCTTTGCCGATGCTTTATTTTTCTTCGTTCTCCTGATGAGGAGGGACCTTTAGCTGCCCTCGAAATCGATCGAGTGTTTTAATATATGTACGCTAAATACAAGGTTGTTATTGTGATTTTGATCATCACATTGGCGTGTTTCTCTTCTCTTCTATTCTATTTTGAAGGAAGTTCAGGGACCAACTTCCTCATAGACCTTTTCATAAATGAAGGGATATTGAAAGCATATAAAGAAATGCACTGGAGATGAAGCTCATCAGCAGGTTTTATCAAGCTGATTACAGCTTGATAAAATTTATTTTACCAGAAGAAACATTTCACAGCTCTGGAATTTTCCACAAATATTCATACACCTCTTCACGGTATCACAGAGTGCAATCAGTAGTTACAAAGTATTAAGAAGGTTAAATGCAACACAAAGGAAAGCAGATTTAAAAGTAAGTTCTCTTGGTTATCTCAATACTCCAAATTCAGCTCTGATTTAACAAGTACTGTAAAACTGATCCTCTGTCTGGTCTTATTTAGTTTTCTTCTGACTGCCGAGAAATCTCGGTCACATCTTGAAATTACTGGAAGTCATGAGGGCCGGATATGGTTAGAGTTACATAAAGGATCAATTACAATACTCATTACAGTTATACGTAGACTGGACCAGAATGTCACCAAGTTTGGCGACTTTCAGACATTTCTCGCCAAAACTGTGGCTAGCTTGATGATATCTCGCCATTTATCCAATGCTAATAGACTTGTCCCTGTACCCTTACCACAAGCATTGCTTGTTTAGATTTTCATGTTATATTATATTACACACAAAATACAATTTCACATACAGGGGTTGGACAAAAATATGGTAACACCTTAAAAAAAACATGTTTCTTTGCTTAATATGGTGTAGGAAACCCGTTGGCATCCAAAACAGCTGCAGTCTTCTCGGAATGGATAAATACAGTTCCTGTATGTTTGCCAAGGGAATATTATACCATTCTTCCTGCAAGACGGTGGCAAGTTCAGATAATGATGTTGGCGGTGGATAACGAGAACGCACTTTCCGTTCCAATGTAGACCACAAAGGTTCGATAATATTCAGGTCTGGTGACTGTGGTGGCCAGGGGAGATGGGACAACTTATCCTCGTGCTCAGAAAACCAGTCCTGGACAATGTGAGCTGTGTGAACAGGGGCTTTGTCGTCTTGGAAGACACCATCACCATCGGGAAACAAAGTTTGTACCATGGAATGAACTTGATCGGCCAAAATGTTCACATATGTCTTGG